GTCGACCATTTTCGAGGGGAGGGGAGGGTCAGGCATCATAGCAACCTTGATAGGGCCTCTGACGCTAGTCATAGTACTGTGGCTTTGAAAGGGAGCAGCAGTAGCAACAAGGAAAAGCTCAAGTTACTAGCGCAGGCCCCCATGGTCTGCATATGGGACTTTCCCAAAACAATCAACGTAATCCCGACTAAGACCCCAAAATCCCCTCGTAATCTCTGTGCATATTGTTGGGCTCCCTGAGGGACCCCCATTTTGAGAAACTTCCATATCACTGCATCCCTACGTGTACCTGCTTTTGAGCGCCCCCAAAGGCTTGGACTTCTAGAAATAAAATTTTAGATTATCCTGCAGAGCTCTCCTTGCTTGAGGAGGGTACTCAAACTTGTGCCGCTATAGCACAAACTAGGCTACTTGAAGCCCCACTTCTAGAACACACCCGGAACATCCCGGAACCCTGCAAAAGATCCCGCCCGCCCCCCCCCCCTTCCGTGACTATCCTCGTCTCTGGCCCTAAGTCCTCAACCCTACACCCTAAGCCACAGGCTAATCTCGTCTTCCGCCTCAACATAGACATCCTCGAATCTGGTTGGAGATTGATTTTGGCTTCAGGTTTAGGGAACTGGGTTTGCCTGTAACCCCAATTACCTCCTACAGCTCAGTAATAACCAGCGCATATTTAGTGCGTATACCCTAGCAAACTGTAGGTACCTGGGTTGCAGGTAAGGCTTAACCTCTTGGGTCTAGGGTTTAGGCTTCAGTCTTCGGATTTACGGCGATTCGAGTGTTCAGTGAATGTAGACCTAGAGGTTTGGGGCTAGACTTCTTCGCGTGCCCTAGTTGCTGAAAGGCTTGGAGCTTTCGAAATGGGAGGCTTAGCTACATGTGAGCCCTAGAACCCCCAACTAAACCCTTAGTTACCCAACTAAACCCTTAGTTAGCCCTAAACCCCAAATTTTTTCATGCCGAGAATAGATGGAAATTTCAGGCCTTGCATCAGCGCGGTTCAGGGTTTAGGGTAGGATTTGTGGCTGACTTACCTCCAACCTTAAAACACTCGCAGATAGTATTTCTTTTCCCTATGTGATCCTTGATAGGGATTACCCAGATCCTAAACCCAAACCCTATACACGAATAGGGACTATAGTATATTGGGGTGTATACTCGGGCCTTCTTAAGAGAAGCCTTCAAACCTCTGCACGGACTCCGTGACCCCGAGCTTGCGAACAGGGTTGGAAAACAAGGGCTTACAGCTTTAACAAGCAGAATTTTAAGAATAGCAAGAATAGTAGAAACAGCAGCAATAGTAATAACAATAATAATAACTGTAGTAAGAACAGAAATAGTTGTAAGAATAACATAACAATAAGGATGATGATTCGCTTACGGGTTTGGACGCAGGTGAGATTGGGTGTTGCCAAGGCACAGTGTTGATTTGCAGGGCAGATCTGAACAAACAGGATTTGGGATTAAGGGATTTAGGGTTCAGGGTTAAGGGATTGAGGGTTGAGTTAAGGGCTTAGGGTTGGGTTTTAGAGTTAAGCTTTGCCGCCCAAATCATGCAACAACTATCATGCCTGGCTTGTGAGGCGTACTTGGAAACCTCAGCTATTCGCGTCGTAGAGCTTCGGATTTAGAGTTGGGTTAGGGTTTGGGTGTTTTTGCACTTTGGGCCGGGGTTCTTGTCACTCATACTGCGAGCCTATGCTTCCCTCCAAGAGCACCACCGAGTAGGCACATTAGCTTGCCTGTAGGTCCAAAGCTTGCATCTCAAACGCTACAAATGGGACCGACGACAACTTAAAGGCCGGAGCCCCAAACCGGAAACCCACTAGCCTCGCCAGAATAGGCCCGACACCAAGCCAAGCGCAAGCTGGCTGGACCTTAAATCCTAAGACGAAAAGCCAGAGACCCGAACTCGCAGACCTAAACGTTGCCCACGACAATCTGAAGATCCAGGCTAAAAATCAATCCAAAAACTCTTACAACCTAAACCTTGAAACCTAGCCCAGAACCTTAAGCTTGAAGCCCTAAACCTAACTCCCCTAAACCGGCCTGGAGCAGAAAAACTAAGCTAGAAAAAATTAGTAGCCCATCAAAACTTACTGGTGCTTACTAGAGAGTAAGGACATACAATCCCCATATACTCCCCTATAATATATTCCCTCATTCCCTACTAACCCTAAACCCTAAGCCCCAAACCCGAAAACCTGAACTATACATCTCAGTATTCCCTGATTCTCCACTAACCTCCCCAAAGGAAGAGTTGGATGGTTCGCCCTTCGCGGCGGCCTTGCAGCTTGTAGCATCCTTCTTCCGCTCCAAGATGGGGCTGGCTTGAGAGGGGCTTAGGGATTAGGGTTTGATGGGTATATAGGGGTTATACTGGGATAACGGAAAAAAATGGAAAACTACTATTTAGGATTTAGGAATTAGGTTTCGTGTTTAGGGTTTAGGAATTTGGGTGTAGGGTTCAGGGTATAGGGCTTAGGATTTGTTAAGGATTAGGGTTTAGGGTTTAGGGATTCGGAGTTTCATCTCGCAAGCTTAGAGAATCTAATAGGAAAATGTTAAGAAAATGGAAATGAAATGGACACTGGCGTTATGTGGGGCCTTTTAACGGGTAATAAGGGGATATTTTAGTTTTCCCAACCCCTACAACAGGGACTCTACTATTCTGATATGATAGTTATTTGTTAAAGGGGTAAGCATTTTTAGGGTTCAGGTTTGTAGGGTTTAGGTTTGTAGGGTCATGTCTGGTACAGGGCTTATTTTGGTTTGAGGGTTTAGGGCTTACAGTCTAAAGTTTGGGGCTTTTGAGCCCTAATCCCTATGAAAGGACGGACATGCTAGAGACTTGGGATCTAGGAGTGAGGGTTGCAGGCCATGCAACTTAGTAGCCTGATCAATTTCTAGAACAAAGAAGGCGTCCCAAGATAGGCAAAAAATGCACAGCAGCAGCGACCAGAAAATGTTAACGTCTTTGCACTTTGCGGACTATAGGGCTTGAAGGCTATGGGTTTAGTCTGCGATTCCAGTCATGCGTCGATGGCATGGCATGTGCCCACATTCGCAACCTGTCTTCTAAAAGCTTCTTTTGTCAGGTATTAGAAGTTCGACAACACTGCTTGCAGCAACTATTGCGATATGCAAGCTTGCAAGCTTCAGGACACTAAGTCGCGGCAGGGTTTCCCTTCTCGCCTTTCTTAAAGCACTCCTTGGGTAATCAATCTGAGGGACTCCCAATCCTTGTAAACCCGCATCCCCATTGGCATCCTCATTTGTGCAGAGCATACCAGCAAGTTACGTCTCCAGCAAATTGCTTGATTCCAATGGCCACAGGAGTCTAAGATCGCATGACAAAGAAGCCTGTAGATCTTTGTGATAAACATTGCTTGCCCTTTGGTAGTTTCCCAAAATAGGGGGACCCAAATATAGACCCCCAAATATTATAATCCTTACGATGGGGACCCTCAAAATGGTGCCCTAATTTTTAGGAAACCCCCATTTTATTTGACATGGACACATCCTGTTTGTCAATCACGTTCAACTATGGCACGGGGCGTTTGGGGCTCCACCATGACGTTTCGTGAGAAGTTTTCGGGCAACAGGTGCATCCTGGCATCACAGCCCCCACTGGGTTGCTGTTAAGGAACTTACGTCAAGCTACCAAATTATGAGTATATAGTAAAGAATGTAACAACTTAGATTGACTTCCTGGACAGCAACCCAGCCTAATCTTCGCGGCAGACGAGGCTCAGCGATTTTCGTGCTGCGGCCTACCACTATGGGCTATTAGACCTTAAAATCCCCTACTAGGACCCTATTAAGGGTAGATTAAGGTACCCTTAAGGTCTAATAGCCCATAGTGGTACGCCTGGCAGAGTTTCAACGTCTCACAGCCTGAGCAGCAGCGACTGAAAAAGGAGTGTCTATGGTCTATTAGAGGTATGGTCTAAACTCCTAAAAGGGGGTTAAATAGGGGATTATATAGGGAACTTCTATAGGGGATATTAAGGGGGATACTAGGAGTTTAGACTATAGCTCTGTTAGAGGTACATGCAGACCATCCCACCCCAAACTTGCGCCCAGAAGCCATGAGAGACCATGTGACTCTCTTCTATAGTAGGTTCCATGTACGCTTCCGTTATTATAGTGTCATTATGTTACTGTTCAGTTCTTAATGTTGTTATCAACATGAACTTTCTTATTATCAGTAGTAGTATAACCCTTCAGTAGGAGTATAGCCTTTCTCTGACCCCCAATAGGGACTCCAAAGCTCTTCTCATAATCCTTTCCTATTCTCAGGGCCTCAAAGGTACCCGCATTTTGAGACCACCACTCTGGCCTTTCCTCTGGATGCAGGGTTTAGGGTGTAAATGAGGGAGTTGGGTGAGTATCCGCTAATCTTTTTCAAATGCAGGCTTCTGCTGGCTTCGAGAGGACTTGCGACCTGCGTTGAGTGTCACGTTCAAGCATTGTTCAGCCTACTCATTAAGGCATTACAGGTGGCACGGGGGGATGGGCTGAAGGGGTTATGGAAAGGACCAACATGCCATCTAGGGACTTCTAGATGGATCCGTTCGCCATTTCCCTCCTCAGCATGAGGAAGCCAAGCTTCAAATGTGCATCATGTACCTACTGAAGTCTTTCCGAGGTCTGCTGTGGAGTTGCATACCGCCGTAGACTTCAGCCACCGGAATTTGAAGCCCCGTTCCTTTCATGGGTCTGAGGCTTGACAGGTCACAGGTTGAGGTGTTGAGTTGAGGGCTGCCATTCGCTTCACATGAGGGTCACCCGAGATTTTGGGCTTAACGTATCAGATGGTATGAGATGAATATTAACACTAACGATCACGTGCTGACGGCAAAGACGATGCTTGCAGCAACTGTAGGACTCGCGCACCCACCATTTTGAACATGCTTGCGAACGGTTGCATCCTGTGCTCAAGAATCGTGCAAAGCACGCCTTTGTGAGCCCAGTTTTCCAAGCCGATCTCCTCGATGGAATCCGGTACTACCGAAGCTACTGTGGACCCCACGTCCACGGTGGGCCGAGAGCGAAGTTCGAAGAAGACGGTGAAAGTTACTGGAAGTTTCGTCCATTCCAAGTCAGAAGAAGCAAGTAACCGGCGCTATGTGGCGAAGCTTCAGGCTTTCCTGAACAGCTACTACTTAGCCAACTTCATGGCTGCTGTGGTTATGATCGACGCATACTGCACCTGTGTAGACATTGACGCAACTGCTGCCGGGGGCGCTCCGCCACAGGTTTTCGCTGTGATATCAGATGCCTGCCTTGTGACCTACACTCTTGAGGTCGTGGCCTTGCTAACGACTTTTGGCTTTAGGGAGCTGGTTAACGATTGGATGATGATGCTTGATGTGGTCATTGTCGGCTGCGGCTGCTGGGAGGCTGTTGAACATGCTGTTGTTTGCTTTGGGGGGACTTGGGCAGGTATAGGAATAGGGCTTAACCAGGGCTCAAACCTGAAACGTGCTTCAACCACAAACCATCAAAATGCTAAACCCCGGAAACCCCAGAACCTGAAATGAGCCGTTAAGGCTGGGTTGAGACACTGATGTCTTCCCTGGCGGATGGAGCCTTGGGGTTCCGCACTGCTGTGCTGCGCGCGTTGCGTTTAGTGCGGATTTTCAGGCTCATGCGCCTGCTGAAGCTCGGAGAGCTTTGGGCTAGCGCGGGACTTTGGAGTTTAGGCTTTGGGCCTTTGAGTCAGGGATGTAAGCGCGGTTGTGGTGCTGGTGGTGCAACAAGAAGAAGGGATGCGGTTACGCTTTCCGAGGACTCACGACTTCAAGGCATTTAAAGTAATGGCTTACCAGGGTTCTAAACATGAGTATACTCTACGTGTATTCGTGTATGTTATACATCTACATCTGAAGCGGGTTGCGTTCGTTCCCATTTCACAGCGTCTGCCGAGGCTTGAGCTGCGATGTCTGCGGGGCAAATGCACTGTACAGTGGTTACATGTAACCTATCCCAATAATGGAGAACCAAGTGGATAAAATGAACTTGCAACGAAATGGAGACGAGAATACCTAGCTGTTTATGGGGTTCAGGGCTAGATGGGGTAAAGCCTGAGGCCACGAAGCAGCCATAGCAGCGCGAGCCAATATAGTACACGAAGCCAGGGAACAGGGCAATGGAAAAGTGAAGAAGAAGACCCTTAGGCCTTGTTTGCTTTTTGAGCTTATAGTCCCCATTAAAGAGATAGAATATGGGGTATATGGGATGGGGATCTTATTCTAATATCCCCAAAGCCATATTATCTTCGATCTACTTAAGGGGGACTATATGCCTTCAAGCGGCCAGCTTTAAATTGCTTTCAGCTACAGCAAGCATGTAAGAACAAAGAGCAGTCACCCCTTTCTGGTTTTTCAGTCATTATCATGACCTACTAGCTTGGAACCTTGAGTCCATGAGTCACGGTTCAAGACTCCTATTTCGCGGTTCAGAGTTTACTCCCCACTGCATAGCAAGCACTGAGCCCGGCGTCCTAGATTCCCTTAAGTAGTCGCGGTGTAGGTACCTCAAATGGACCTGAAGATGATATTGGTAGTTAGTTAGTCCCCTACATCAGGAGATCCTTAGAAGCATTGGGGATTTTGTAGCCCCATGCCAGTTCAGGGAGATTAGTCTGAGGGACCCAGGGGTGAGGTTTGGGTTTAGGCTTTAGGGCTTGGGGTTTAGGGCTTCGGGTTTTTGTTCTATCCATTTGACAAGCCCATTATGCTCCTACTGTAACTCTTTAGAAGTAGGTTACCCATCCCATTTTTAACAACATGGCAGATGGAGGACATCTTGCGCCACTTGGGATCCCAAGAATATCCCCTCCGCCCCATCCCCCCCTAACATAAAGTACGCCCAACATATTATGATGTACCGCATTGCAGTATGGGAGTATATGATATTAGTGCGCCGGGGGGGTGGGGTAACTTTAGAGGAAGGTTATTACTGTAATTTTTGGGACAGAGGCAATTTTTGTTGCCAGAGCTCCTCCATGCACAGTAGGCTTCCAAACACTACATGCTTAGTAGCAGGGTTACCCCGAAGTTTGGGAAACCCCTAAGCCCTAACCCTATCTATATATATATATATATGTATACATATATACCCTCATAGCCCTACATAACGCCTTGGACAGCAATCAAGGCCCGACCGCTTAAAGGCTTCAAAATTTGAAGCCTCTGAAGAATGAAAATCTGAATCCCCTTAGTCTCCAAACCTTACACAAGATATGCCCTTCTGAAAATGGAGGTTCTTGGAAGGAGTGGCACTCAATCCCAATAGAGTTCTATCGGAGATGGGAGTAGTGGCAGCAAGCCATCGAACCCACACCGTAGCTCCCCAGCTTGAAGCTGCAAAGCTCCGAAATTCCAACAGCAATCAGACACACGCTTAAGGGTTGGGGGTTTAAGTTGTCAACTCTTCCATTGAAAAATTCAAGAATACTCCGCCCGTCCCNNCCCCCCCCCCCCCCCCCCGGACCCATAACGGCATACTCCAGCAGACATCAAGGAAACGGATCCGCCCTCTGCGAGAGCTGCATAAGCTTGTCATGATGATGGCCACGTGCTTCAGGACTTCTGCACTCTGCTTAGCGTTTAGGGAAGCTGGTTTCGTTTTAGTTCGTTCTCATACAATCCTGAGAGGAACTATGAGAACATTGTTGTTGTTGCCTGCGTGATGTTTACGTGCACAAAGTGTGGCCTCCTTGCCAGATGTTTACCCGGTGTTGGTAGCATTCGTAGTTCTGCACGTTGCATGTCCCTAGCATCCATACGCATCTCATGTCCCAATGCATCTTGTAACCAGAGCATCCATTCCCGAATCATGTAACATCCATGTCCCAGCGCATCCGGTCACCAGAGCATTCATGCCCGGATCATGATGAATTTCAGCGCATTTTTTCAGAAGAACGTCCACGCCCAACCGATATGAACGTCTTTTTTCTCTGAGTGCTTTTCCCAAGAGGGACATTGAAGTCATTGTTAAGTTCAAGACTTCATACCACATCCAGCCTTTGACTTTTCAAATTCCGCCTCATGTTGAGCCTAGTTTGTGCTCGCAAGCCTCGATCGACCGTCGTGTAGAATTCAAACGCCTGAACGTGTTCTGAACCTGTTGAACATTTCGCAGGTTTCCGCCGAAATGTTTTGAATAGACTCTTTTGTCCGGCCAGGGGGGCTGTCCTTGCAAGTACCTGTCAAATCAAGAGGCTCGCGCTGGACACGGATACCAAAATTGATCACCTTGGCATACCCATTTGGCTTTCCAGGAATCGATCGAAGATTCCCGGCTCTCAGATACCACTTGCAGCTATTGAGGCTTGTGCATCAACATTTACTTGTGGGCCCCGCAGCGACGAATGATAGCCTGCTCCAGTACTATGATGCGTAAGCGTGGACAAGAAGGAAAAACTCTTCACTGTTTTGATCTTGTATTATCTCTGAGTAGTGATGACACAACATATCCCAATGCCTGAATTTGTCGGGGTCTTTTCATGTTTTGCTTGTTTAGAGGTTCTTGCCAGTGTTTCTGGACAGTTTTTCAGCGTGACAGCAAATCCTCAGATCGACACATTTGCATTCTCTCTTTCAACATTGAAGAGTCGGGACGCTATAAGGGTTTAGAGCTGGAAGGGCTTGCAGGTGAATATCTTGAGATGTACCCGTATCAGCATTTACAACACAACGCCCGCCGGCAGGACATTATTGTGGTCGTTTTTGTTGTGCTTCGTGGTGATGACGGTGTGGGCCATGCTTTTGGTCGAGATCGTCTACCCAAACGTCCAGGCCAAATGAAAACGTTGACAACCATGAGTTACTTATTTGTGGTCTTTAGATTATAAGACCCCGGATTTGACTCAGACCCATATCTCCTTGAAATATGTGTTTAGGCTCATGCGGCGGTGCGATGGCGGGCCGTGTTAAGAACAGTGGGCCTTACCCGCATGTTTCCTATCTGTGGCAGTTAAATATCCCTCATTACACGCTTACTTCAGATTACTTCAGTATCCCGAACAATCTGTAGTCTGCAAGTTCTATCAATAATGAAGCAACCTTAAATGAGTTGGCAAAGTCGGCACTTCGCGGTGGAGCTTCAGTACTTATGGGACCAAACGCCCCCAGTGTCCTAAGCGTCAATGTTCCCCTCATGTGTACATAGCACTTGGGGAAGATGCATTAGCAGGTGTTTTTCGTCCGGAAAGGCTTACTTTGGGTTGTTTTAGGCAGGGAGCCGTACAACTTGAGGGTGACTTGGATGGCATTTCAGGTTTGGATATCGTTGCAGCGGCGAAAATCCAATGTTCCCTTTCAAACCTTATTTGAGCAACTCCTCTTGGATGCTATGCAAAACCACGCTTGTCTTCAAAACGGATGAAGGCACTGGAAACCAGGCAGGGATTCGGGATATGGACGTTTCTGCAAGAGGGATCAGCAAACAAACAGTAAACCCGTGGGCAGGAGATGTACCGAGAACGCGGCTTCTTCGTGGAATGTGTACAGTGCAGGAGGGCTGTGTCTTCTGCCCCTTGGACATGTTGTGGGATTTAGCTGAGATGTTTCAAATTTGTTCCTGCTTTACTCACTTCCGGAAATCGGACTCCAGCGGTTGGGCGTTAATGGGAATTCCCGCTTTGGAACGCATCCACATCTACTTCGGGTCGAGCATGTCAATGTGCCGTCCAAGGTGCTACCCCACGAGAACGTCATGTAGGATCGAGAGAATATCCATAGTACGGCTTGAATATCACAGGGGTCCGCGTCAGAATTGTTGGGTGGCAAGATGGTGTCACTCATCATGCTGCTGCTGCTGCTGCTGCTGCTGCTGCTGCTGCTGCTGCCGCCTCATCCCTATCTCAGGGCTCGGTGATTCCAAAACTCATGGTGGTCTTGAGAGTTTGTTGCATAAACACGCTGCACAGAATTTGGCATCGCAAGAATTATACAACGAACTCCAGATTCATATATGTTGCACGATGGACCCAAACACAACACAGCAAACGCTCCAATCTGAGATCAGGGTCGACAAAAACCTCAACCTTAAACTCAATCTTAGCGCGGAGCGCGCGGAGTCCTGCTTGGAAACCAGGCCCTTTGTTTCGGTGAAGATTACTGGAGATTATTTCCTGTACTGGGTCCCCAAACCCTAAACCCTGCCCGTAGCGAATCAAAACGCAAGGAAGCCCCCCTTCAGGACCACTACCTCTAGATTTGCATTCATCCCACTGCTTCTAACAAACCTCCCCACCCCACCCCAAAAACTAATGCATATTCCTCCATCAGAGAATGGCAATATTTACCGCGGGGGCCGGGGGGGGGGGGGGGGATCAATTATGAGGGGCGTGTTTTGTTGAGCTAAGGGAGGGGATTAGCATTCTTCACTGGCTGAGTCCTCAACAAAACATCCATCCTCAGCTGTTTAGCAAAAACCATTGGAATCAACCCCCCTAGCCTCAACCCTGAACCGTACGTATGTCCATGCAAAGAAGCAGCTGACAATGGTCCAAGGTTATGGATGCAAACTTGCTACTTTTCAAGACAGTGATTGCGGGCGATAGTTGGGGCGAGGTTGCCGTTCCAGTGATTCAGGAGGGGGCTTGTCAAAATGATGAGTCCCTAGGTCGGGCCTCCCTACAGCAATATAAGAGGGGTTCTTTGATTCTTGGAATGTACATGCGTCTGCTCTTAGTTCCAGAAATGCTTGCGACAGGAGTTAAATCGGTAAGTAGGCTTCGCTTCGAAAAGCTGGTGAAACACAATTGCAGGACGATGGTGAATGGTGTAGGAGCCTCACTTCGGAAGAGTTGTTCGTAGAATATACACTCCCGGAAACTAACANNNNCCCTACAAAGACTACAGTCCTTCCAAAAGGGGACTATATGGGTTTCCATGTTAGTTTGGGGGAGTGTATTCGTCCTGTGGCTCTAGCTCGCTGCTCCTTTCTCTATTCGTTTCTCCTTCCTCTCCCTCTTCCACTCCTGATCGCTCTCTTTCTTTCTCTCACGCTCCTGCTCTCTGTTTGCCTCTCGCTCTCTCGATGTCCCTCTCTGCCTCTCTTTCTATGTATTTCTCTCATCAAGGTATCAATCTATCCATCTATCTAGCTTGACTTCAAAATCTGGACCCTGGATGTTTTAGATGATTTGAGGAGCCGATCCATGTCCTTCAGCTGACATACCCACGCAGCATCCGCAAAGTAGGCTTGACCCCTCCAGAATCCCATTCCAATCAAGCAGGCCCCGATATCCCTAAACCCCATAACATACACGTTTTTGATTCCTATACAACCTGTTTACAATCTCTACGGGATACCTACATAATCCACCCAAAGCCTATCCTGACCTCTAGCTTTTGAATTCCAGCACTGGATGGCTGCCTGCTTGGCGGCTCAATGCCCCCCATCAGCCCAAATAGCAATAATAACAATGATAATAACACCGAGTAAGACGGAAGAATGAATAATGAGAATAATTGTAGTACTTGTAATAATGGTACGGAATGCTAACAACAACCAAAGTGTGCCTGCAGGAGCACCCATCCACGGCTATCATTTTCGTCGGATCTCTACTGACCCTGGTCTTTGGAGTTCTAAACCTCATTGCTCCCCAGCTGTCAACAGGATTTAGCATTTAGAGTTTAGGCGGGGCTTTCAAAGTTAAATGCAAGAGCGCAACACCTACCTGCAACCTCACACTATTCAATTAGGGATTTATGGAGATATGTAGGGGTTTATAGGGATTATAAGGGCTTAGAGTGCTGCTCCTTAAGGCATACCCCGCAGAACCCTAGGCAATTGGAGTTTTATAGGCAGCACCGAAGCCTTGGAGAGCTCTGGTTTCTCTGGGGGCGGCTTTCAGATCAGGGAGTTATCCTTTGTACCCTTAGGGTTTGTATCCTTGGGTTTGGGTCCCTGAACCATGGAATATGGCGCTCAATAAGGGCATTTGGGACCCAAAGCCTAGGGTTACAAACTACAGTAAGGGTACAAACTTAAAACCCTAAACCCCAAGGGATCCCAAGGGGTTTTGGCCTTCAGCTGAGGCATGCTACGCAGCAGCTTCAATGTTTGTGTAAGGTTCGCTTTACTGGTTGCTGTTAAGGGACTTAAACTAAGTTCCTAATTTGGGGAACCCAAATTAATTAGTGTATACCCATTATGGTAATTCAATTTGCAACTGCACCCTAAACCCTAAACGGGGGGGCGGGGGGCAAGGTTTTTTTGGGCCTGCTCAGATGAGCCATAGTCTAAGCTCCTTAAAGGGGGTTATATAGGCGATTATATAGTCCCTCTATTTAGGCTTAAAGGGGGTGTATGTGTATATGGGGTATTATAGGGGTTCTTACGGGGGATACTAGGAGTTCAGACTCGTAGCTCATATGAGGAAAAAGAAATTTGTGCAACATAATTCCAATGTTGCACGGATGTTGCAACACAAGAGCGACTTCATCCTCTTGCAATCGCTCCATACCTCTTCAGCAATTACATAGACTGGGATAAAGTCGGTCAAGTTCACTTGCAGTAGTGTTCAAGCTTCCATTAATTGGGCCATACAGCTGATGTAAGAGCCCCTTGCGGAAAAGAGAAGGCCGCACGGCGAGGGCGCATAGCGCCCTAATAGTTGCTTGAGAAGGGGCAGGCATGCTTTCTGGGTGGATCTGTTGCTGGATGGCGACCCTAAACCCCTACACTCCTAGACTAAAACTCTTCAGCACCCTGAAGCCTCAACTCTGAACCCTAGATGGAGGTTTCCACAAAATTTAGGCATCCGGGTTGGGAGTCCCGTTGGTAAGGCATCTAGTCTACCCCTCTTTATGGATGTCCTAAACTAAGGTTGCTGTCGTGGTAGACACGTTTGCAGACGCCCGGCTCAACGACGTCCAAAATCTTGCGGAAGAGATGGAGGATGAGATCGAACATGATAGACGCTCGGGCAAAGCATAAGTTGGGCTAGAAGTTAGTCATCAGTGAGACGGCTAGGGTTACAAGTCCAACACATCGTAACTGTGAGACCTAACGTCTATTTGTGCAAGTGTTGGGCCATCCTGCAGTGCTGGTTTAGGGTTTTTTTGGGTTTAGGGAATAGGGTTTATGGATTCAGGGTATAGGGTTTAGGGCTTTTTGGGTCTAGGGTATAGGGTTTAGGGTTTTTTGGGTTTAGGGAAAAGAGTTTTGGGTTTAGGGGGTGGCACGGCTAGGAGGCTTTCAAGGAACAACATGTCTGCCTTGGATCAGCGTCACTGCCAAGATCTTGTTGACCTCGGAGGGTGCCTTCTTCGGGATGATATAGGGATACTGGAAGAGAAAATGGAAAGCACACTGTGATCAGGGTATGTAGGGCTTTTCGGGTTTAGGATTCAGGCCATGTAGGGATTTCCTAGGGGTTACATAGGGATGATGGAAAAGAAAATGGAAACCTCAATATAGGAGGGTATATATCGAGGTTATGGTAACGTTATGAAGGTAGCCGCCCCGAATCCCAAAAACCCTTAACCCAGTAGGCACAAGAACCACAAACAAGGATTTAGGGTTTAGGGTTTAGGATTTAGGGATTTCAGGGTTTAGGGTGTAGGGTAAACTGGCCGGTAGATTGTCGAAACGCTGGTCCCTTTTTGGGTCCCAGTCTAGTATGGCCCCCAAATTCAGACAAGTGACCATAATTTTGCCAATCCATCCATTGCCTCAGGAAAGGCGCTGGGAAAGCTTTTCGCCAGGATCGACGCTTGGCTAATCCTAAATCTTAACAGGTGTAGTGAAAGTGCTTCAAATCCTGTAGGATCAGGGGCGGGCTTCCGGGCTGTCGGAGCAAGATCATAGGTTGACAATGAAGGCATTGTAGCGGAAACCGCCGAAAATCCGTTGGTTCAGAGTTTAGGGTTTAGGCTGAGGATTGCTTGGAGTAAGGAGACTGCAGAAGGCCTGTCATGGAGTTCTGCGTAGTTTTATGTCCTGAGCGACATGGAGGCTGTGAACCTACGGACAGACGCTGCAGCTAGCGCCCCTGTGTTATGGGGGCTTCACAGCGTGTCTAACATACTTTATTTGAAGCACCTTATGACAAGCAGCCTGAACTAAGGCTCCACAGCGTTTCAGAAACAGTTATGTCAATGCTGGGTAGGCCCCTGGGATATTTAATATTTCCCCTAATGGCTTTCACAAGGGACCCTATATACCAATTTTTTCAAAAGGTTTTAGGGGCCAACCCAGAATGTGGCTTTGAAAGGCTTTCCGTATGCTGCCGCTGCAGAGGGACAGAAGCCCTATAGTCCCCCTTAAGTAGATAGAATATAGGGGTTACATTAGGGATAATGGAAAAGAA